GAGAAAAATCATTCTGCTGTTGAAAAAGAAGCATATGCTATAGTTGAAGCGATCCGCAAATGGCGCCACTATCTCCTCGGGAGACATTTTAAATTGATTACGGATCAACGTTCGGTAGCCTTTATGTATGGGAACCAACAGAAAAGTAAAATAAAGAACGACAAGATTGAACGGTGGAAAATCGAGTTGGCAGGGTACAACTACGACGTCGTCTATAGACCTGGAACAGATAACCGCGTTGCTGATACCCTATCTCGTAACCTTTGTGCCAACATTACTGGGACGGAAAAACTTGAAGAGCTTCACAACATATTATGCCATCCCGGGGTCACGAGATTTGCACATTTTGTTCGTTCTAAGAATCTTCCTTTTTCAGTCAGCGATATCCGACGTGTGGTGTCCAACTGTTCCACTTGCTCCGAGCTCAAACCAAAATTTTGTGACACCTTTCGTGGCCAGCTTATCAAAGCCACACAACCGTTCGAACGCCTTAGTATCGACTTTAAAGGCCCACTTCCCTCAAACACTCGTAATAAGTACCTCTTAACAATCGTTGACGAGTATTCTCGATTCCCTTTTGCTTATCCCTGCGCCGATACGTCCTCTTCCACTGTAATTCGTTGTTTGAGTCAACTGTTTTCACTGTTTGGTATGCCTGCTTATATTCACTCAGATCGCGGTTCTGCATTCATATCAACTGAACTCAAACAATTTTTGTTCGATAAAGGCGTTGCCAGTAGTCACACCGCTGCATATAATCCACAATGTAATGGTCAGGTTGAACGACTTAATGGTACCCTTTGGAAGACCATCTGCCTGGCTCTAAAATCGCGCGGCTTGCCTGTCACACATTGGGAGGCTGTCCTCCTTGATGCTCTTCACTGTATCAGATCCCTGTTATGTACTAGTATCAACTGTACCCCACACGAACGTTTTATGCCGTTCACACGACGATCAGCCAACGGTGCCTCCCTACCTACCTGGCTTACTGTCCCTGGGCCAATCCTTTTAAAACGCAATGATCGAGTCTCTAAATATGACCCTCTGGTAGAGGAAGTGGAACTCGTCTCTTGTAATCCACAGTACGCCCACATAGTTCGTCCAGATGGCAAACACGAAACCGTATCCTTGCGCCGCTTGGCTCCCAAAGGCAACGACATGACATCCGACACAGAACAGGAACCAATACATATCGCCGAACAAGGGGAGCCTCACACAACACCAACAATCCACCGTGGTTGCTCAGAAACTGAACTCTTGCCTATTAACGATGCCTCGCCATCCCATTCTAGTGCAGATCCAGGAAATCACTTGGACATTCTTATCCGACAACAGCGCACTCACCCATATAATCTACGCAACAGAGAGGCGTAAACGACTCCATGTAACTATTACAGCCTTTTATTTTTTTACATTCTTTCTCCGCAAAGTACACACTTATTCCAAGGCGGGGAGAATGTCATGACTATATAACCCATACCTTTGCATAACCCATTAACTCGTGATTCTCACTCTATTTTCAGCTCATGTACTACAGTTATTAGACGATTAAAGCGTACATTACGTCTTCCTATTCTGTCTCCTTTCTAATCCCGTCCTGGAACTACTCGACTCTCGCAACACCAACACAATTTCAGATCGCAAATCCTACGCTGTCAATAAACTTAAGGTAGCTCAGAAAGAAGAGTAATTCAGCTGACGAGTGACTCGAGGAACCAGTTAACACACCATGATAGAAGGGTGACTGGCGCTATATCCTGTCTATGTCCGGGTTATTCACACCGTTGATCAGTGGTCGAACTCTCAGCTGCTAGGCGGGAAGTTGTGAATTTTAATTTCTCTGAAGACCCATGAGATGCATACTACTGATGGTTTTCAATAAGGATGCAACAACTACACTACGCTTCTTGGCTTTTCATCATTGATAGGCTTCATTTGCAGAAGCAAATCTCTGTTGGATATTTCAAACATCTGTCCGCATTTCTCATTGGCTAATTTCTTAAACCTTACACTACCAATAGCACAATTTCACTGATTCCAGCTACACTCTCAAATTTGGTAGTGAAGTAATCTGTCTCACTGGATCACCCACTGCCTCGTCAATCTCTTTTCCCCCTTCCCCATTATCCGTGAAGGCTTACGTGTAACATAGAAGCAACACTCAAATGCGCCAAATTAACACCTCTAGAGCAACAAAAAAATTAGTCACTTTTGAGGATGTGGTACTTTCACTGGTTCACGCGGTTATTTGACCAAACAATGAACTTCTAAGCGGTATGGTTTGGTGCAAAATTTTCGAATTCAGTTCCCTGGTGTTGTTTGTCCGTCTGAGGCAGTATCACGGGGCACAATTAAAAACGAACGACACTTTGCATTCTGGCAAGGGCATCTATAAGCGCCTGAAGTAATATTAGCCTACCATGAGTAACCAATCCGGTTGGGAAGCAAATGTGGCAAGGCTCAAAATAGGTGTGCGAAGTACATGCTATTTACAGAACCTAGAAGCATAGAAATGCGGTGGTTCCGGCTTTTTTGATGATAAACACGAGATGTTCATCACAGGGTGTGTTGTAATGCCAGTGGTATTGACAGGGTGAACTGGAAGTTTACGGGGACACCAATCAAATTGTCTTTTCCGGATGAGGGAAAATCTCGTGTCCTAAATCTTTGTAGCAGCGAACATTTCTGAGAGCGATATGCAGGTTCCTGTAGGCTTCAGATGTGTCAAACCTACAGAAGTGCAACAGTCCCAATCTGTTTACACGATACTGAAATGCAGGATAGTCAGACTGAAATTCGGAGAAAATGGTCGTTTCTAACGGCCTGAGATTACGACAGCCTATTGTCATCACTCCAAACGGACAGACCACTGCAATGACAGATTGAAGTTACCTTGGAGATAGGCGCATGGTGTTTCTTTAGTTTGGAAATCGATTATTTATACAATATTAGTAAATAAAACCTTGCTGATTGGCTTGCATCAAAATTTGATGAATCTTGTAAGTTTCATCAGTCGGTCCTAAGACGCTTTTATATCTAAAGCAAAATGCGACACGCTGCTTAACGAGTGTTCTCCACAAAGTTCTGAACGAATTCTATATGTGTTCCACACGTTTTCCATCTAACAACCCTTGATAATCCATAACTATCTATCGCTAGACTCCACTCGCAGAAGTTGTGATCCTGACTCTAATTCTCGTGCTATGCATGATCTTATGTTGCGTATTTTTCTTATCTAATCAAGTCGGAGTAATATTGAGCCAATTCGTTAGTGCGCATGTGATTTTTACGCCGGTACCGAGACTGTCCGTTGTTAGGTTACACCCTTGTTGAAAAGGTTGTCTGATAGATGGAGCACCACGTGATTTCACCAACTGACATCAGCCACTTACTAGCTTTTGTAATGGCGCGTTAGACTAATCACACACGTCTTGACCTAGATGTTCCTTTTGTCGATAGGATTGTATTTACTTAGGTGGCTCGTTCATTAGTAACTCAGGTCCATGCCTATCAGAAGTGGATGCCACTGGATTCAACTACTAGGCTGTCTCCGTTTATGTTAGCAAAGCCTCACCTTAATGCCCTGGATATGCCGCAGCTTTCAGCCCGCAACGATGCTAGAAGTGAATTTCCGTGACCGTCGTTTTATGGACCGACGTGACCGATTGCTGGCATCAGCTGACCATGTGCGTGTCTCAAGTTTATCGTGGACCACCAGACTATCTTTCGCATAGGCGCTACTGTTTATACGTGTCAACTACCTAAGGGTTCTTTGGTTACCGCGCCGAACACTGTCTACACTGTTATCCCAACTGTTCCGCATTGATTGTACTAAGTTGTCCTGTATTGTTCTGAGCCGTGGTCGGTTTTGTACGATGGAAGAGACAAAAGTGGACGCGGATGCCAACCACTCACTGGAACGAACACAGCCACTTGTGATGGACGTTTGCACACCGCGACAACGCGGAATTGAAGCCCAAAACTCCGGTTGAGGGCGAAATTCCTATATGAATCTGCTTAGTGGGATGCGAACACAGATAATCTGAAGTGCACCGTTGACAGATTTCTGGTTACTTTTATATATATCCTTGATAACGACAACCATAGAAGCCTAGCTTTCTTTCCTATGTTCTTTGTTTTGATTGCTTTCACAGCTATCTCTAACCAACTGACATTACACCATCACGGTTATACATCCGGAGTCAGCTTTCGTTATAAATCTTGATAATAGCATGATTGCACATCAGTGTCATCACCTGTTAACAAGGTTAAAATAATTGTACAGATTGGCTGTCCATCAACTGCCATGTTATCAGCAACTGATCACGGTCACATGTTTGTACACTTAACACAGGTTTAGACGGCCTCGATACAGGTGCAGTCCCTTACTGGACATAAGGTCCGTAGCACAGTAATGTTACTTACAATACGATCACATGCAAACAAGGGTCTGTGGTGAAATCCCAGTTGTATATTTTAACTGTTGACATATTAACATGGTTTTTCTAACTTTTACCATGGGTAGGTCTTTCGGGGACGAAATGAGAGTGCTATATGATGGGGTGTTTATTACAGATTACATTAAAAACCGACTAGCCTTACTTTATTACCGCGTCGTACACAAAGAGAGAACATCGTTTCTCAACTAGGGTAAGCTAAACCGTGCCACAGTAGTCCGATGTATGTATGTATGTATGTATGTATGTAAGTATGTATGTATGTATGTATGTATGTAAGTATGTATGTGTATGTATGTATGTATGTATGTATGTATGTATGTATGTATGTATGTATGTATGTATGTATGTATGTATGTATGTATGTATGTATGTATGTATGTATGTATGTATGTATGTATGTATGTATGTATGTATGTATGTATGTATGTATGTATGTATGTATGTATGTATGTATGTATGTATGTATGTATGTATGTATGTATGTATGTATGTATTCTGCACTACCAAATGAATCAAATGCATCCTTTAGCATTTGCTCAACTACTGATCGTATATGCAAAACGGGACAGACGCAGGCGATTTGCACTCAGACGAATGTTCTGCTACGTGCAAGTCTCTGGCATTGATGTAGATTCTGGGGAACGCGACCGGCGGATGAAGTTTCAGAGGCCTGCTGTAAGTCACAAAGCGATCTAATCATGATCACGTATCGATGAGCACGGCACCGGCTATTTGGTTATCGAGGTCCCGGAGTTGTCCGTCAGTTTATTAAATTTTCAACCTAATACATCACTTTCACCAGTAGAGCATCACGCAAGTGTAACTGGGAGCCATCTGATAACCCATATCAAGGTGGAAGTGGTAATCTGGCATGAATTATGTGATAAACATTAGGATAGTAATATCCAGCGGATGCTCATCTTGGAGTGGAAAAACCACCTAGTTTCCAGCTGGGACGTTTAGCAGGTGAACCGGTGAGTAGCCTGCAATCCAAAGGTCGATCTTACCAAGGTATGTACGCCCAAATGTTGCACAATTTAACATTCTCAAAGCTGCAGCTGAAAGGTACATTTCCAGCTTGTTTTCCAGCACTGTAAGGTGTCACGTCTCAAAGCTTCTCATGCCAACCTATGTAGCCATTCGCCAGATGGTTCTGTCGTATACCGCACCCTCTAGCGATCAAAAGCGGAAGCTCTAGTTCTCCAAACTTGTTTGAAGAATCCCCTAGTGTGGGAATTTTGAAGAATGACTCATTTATAGGCATATTTGTGTCTATACACATATAGTATAGTTCTTCTGTAGACTTCTGTTTTATCGCATATCAATATTTGACCCAGTGAGGTGTTCGTGCATGCCGGATGCCGAACGGCAGGTGTGAATGCATCCCTCATTTGGAATGCATGAGTAAAGCTGATATTACCACTGCTATTTGTGTCTAGTAAGAAAAAACCCCAAGCTGGTTAGTAGCGGTGAAATATGTGGAGAATTCACGGTGAGTTTAACTGAGAGTGACTAAGTTCTCCTTTTGGTTACTTCTCGTCCAGTAAAATCATACAGTGTCTGTTGGTGCTCCATGTTCATTCACCATGAGCTAGTCCTCATCGAAGCGGAATCAACTTCAATGGAATGATAAGAACATATCTCAGGAGCTACATGGATTGATGGACATTTTTTCGGTGTTTCATTTTTATGCCCTAAAATCGTAGACCCTGAAAGGTCTTTACCCATTTCGCTCAGGGGAAGGAAAAGCGCAAACGCAAACCCTGACTCTGTATTTGGGATGACTGTATTAGTTAAAATGATACTTGTCCGATCCTTCCACAAAATGCCACACAGGAAGGACGAACATTTTCAGACACATGACGTCATTCGGCAAGTGAAGCCCTGGAATGGTGCGTTTTGTTACACGACGTCACAACCAAGAGTACACCAGTTTTTACTGCTCGTATTGCCCAACTGACCAGTTATTCTATGGAAAAGCGATGAGTCAGTATTTTTCTTCTTTTCTTCCCGGATGCAGTGTGAAAGAAATGCCGTAAAATGTGTGCTGTGTGGCAATCTCAAACATCAGTCTCGCTTCTTAGGCCGAACGGACATTACAGTAAGTGAACAAAGAGTAATTCACTCAAGTTATTCTTCAAGCGCGTACTTTGGACATGAAGTACCACCTTTGCGCTCGAGTTAATTGGCTACCCCACAGATTAGCTAACTTACTCAGCTTGAAACAGCGGAGATGTGTGGTGAGACATAGGGAAACCCTACGGGGTATACTGTAGCCATGGTACTCAGTACGGAATTCGCACCAAACAGTGGCTTTTAGTGGAGTGAATAAAATATTCTAATGATTACTAGTCAGCGATGCATTATCGGTCGATGATTGTGGTATGTGCGACCGCCGCAGGTCGACGCTAGACCAGGTGTATCACAAAATAATGCTTACTTTGTATGCGTTACGGTTGATCATCGTGCTCTAGACACAGTGAAACAATTTTGACAACCGGTTGGTATGTGCTTCTGAGTATGCATGCCATGTAGATACTATCCGTTTAGAGAATATGGCTTGTAGGATGTACATTAACCGACCTTCCTATTAGTTGTGAACAGTCAGACAGAGCTCAAGGATGATCTTATGGTGACAGGTGTGTGAGCCCAGTGAATAAGTTGAAACTCCCAGTTCTAACTAAACGATGTAGATCAAACCTATAAAGGAAACTACTCACAAGATTGCTGAAATTCACCGACAGCCCACGACCGATTTCGCTCTTCTTGGGGCTCATCAGGCAGACGCAGTCCCCGAGTTTTGTGTCAACCTTATGTTCTACTTGAACCCAAATTGGACTGTTTTCGAAAGATACACTCATTCGCAAATCAATTTGGTCTTCACGAGAAACTCAACTGAATCTCTCTTTCATGATATTCTACAATGGAATGTGCTGCACACAGGCCGCCTCAGGGACTGCGCCTACCTGATGAGACCCAAGAAGGGCGAAACCGGTGGTGGGCTGTCGAAGAGTATTCAGCAAACTTGTGAGTAGTTTCCCTTATCAAAATACACTGCGATATCTCGAATATCGTGCCAACTGAAACATGAGGTGACCTGTGTGCAGCACATTCAGTTGTAGAATATCCTAAACGAGAGATTTAGTTGAGTCTCTCGTGAAAATCAAATTGATTTGTAGATCGAATCTACTTCGAGAAACGCTAAGATTATCATCTTCTCTTTGAAGATGAAAGCTGGCACCACGTTTGACAGCGGCCGCCCAAAAACGGTAATGGTCTTCAATGGAAAGTTTGTGTCATATTTCAACCGTGTTTGCATTCATCTTTCTTATGCATGGACATGTATGACCACCGATTAACCTAATGCGATGCTTGTCTCTTATAGCTGACTTACTCTCCGAAAAGACGCTGTTATCCTTGGTGTTTGTGTGCTTTACACTGGTAAGTGATTACCTCCCACCGACTAGGTCGAAGAAGTACGTTACGACCTTTTTACTTTACTTTACCTTTACTTTACTTTTACCTTTCACTTTCGGCTGTTAAGACTTGGTTGACCCTACGGCAGGTTTTACACTAATAATTTTCGCTAAATAAGGAGGCATGTGTCCACTACTTCTGACATCTGTCAGTTCCTCATCTCCCCAAGTCGCTCCAATAATATTCTAGTTGATGACTTTTACGTAGTTCGCCCTTCATCTCACCCCAGATGCTTCTGAAAGATGTGTGTTTTTGTGTCTATGTCCCATTGATTCAAGCCCATTCTAATCATTGACCACAGCTGATACCTGAGTAAAGTATGGCTTGCCTTTATCAAAACTTGCAGCCTTTTAGCGTAATGTGACTAAGCGGGAGTCCAAACATTTGAAGGATTATGGCACAAAACAGTAACAGCTGGGGGGGGGGTTAAAAAGAGGATAAGTTCTGCTTAACAGGAACACTGGGGGGGGGGGTAAAAAGAGTATAAGTTCTGCTTGGTACACGGGCTTGAATTTCACACAGTGCCGAAAATAATATTTCACTGAAGGAAATTACTCGCAAGGTTGCTGAAATTCGCCGACAGCCCACGACCGGTTCCGCTCTTCTTGGAGCTCATCAGGTATGCACAGTCCCCGAGTTTCCGTCAACCTTGTGTTCTATTTGAACCCAAATTGGGCTGTTTTCGACAAATACACTCATTTGAAAATCAATTCGGTTTTCACGAGAGACTCAGCTAGATCTCTCGTTTATGATATTCTACAACGGAATGTGCTGTACACAGGCCACCTCAAGTTTCAGTTAGCACGATATTCGAGGTATAGCAGTATATTTTCATAAAGGAAACTACTCACTAAATTGATAACCCCCACATTTTATCGTCATAAAGAAACTCGTTTACATTCATCTACAAAGGTGTTCAGCAGCGGAGATGCATTAAGAATTGGGAATTTGTTCAGACAGAATACGGGCCGATTAATTCGTCAAGTCAAAACTTGAGTTTTTGATATATTTAGAGGTAAACTGCGTAAAGTACAAGCTCGATAATTGTTAATCAACGATTTTTTTCGGTGTGAATTTTAGCTGCTGCTGCAATAACCAAGGGCCTCAACTCTTCAAGTTTTTGATCTTCAGGAAATAAGAGAAAAAGAATGCGAGACTCAAATGCTACCATCAGTTAAATTGAATCCTGACACAGTGCCTGAACATAAGCATCCAGAAAAAACTCACCCAGTTGGCTTGGTTCCCTTTCACTCCTGGAAGCCACAGATCGCCAGAATTCCGTTGGACGCCAAACATGTAATCTCCATCTATCGTCCAATACATCGGAACTCCAAAATCTACATTAGAGAAACCCTATCATGATGATCTGTAAAAAACAACACCACGTTTTCCTTTATTTTTGTAGACAAGCGGACGCAAAGACTAAACTCCTTTAGTACCCTCCATTTACATAAGTGAAACTACCAAAGACCCAGAAATTTATCGGTTCCTGACGCAGTTCAAAACTTTCTTTCAAGAGAACCCACCAAAAGGTCACGTCCTCTTCAAGCGGACAGAATTTTTGAGGTCGCAATCGCTTGTCGGAGAAAATAAGCGTGAAGCAGAAAAGGTTCGCGGGTGTCTGATTCCGCGCAAGAGAGGGCAAGCCTAACGGAAGTATCCCAAGCCGCCATATTTACTGACGTATCGTTTCAAAAAGTTTCATAAACATAGTTAATATTTCTGCCTGTTACACTGGCGAATAGTTATTCACTTCACCTGACCCGACCGGACCTGTCCAGTTATTTCGTTTGACACTAGCGCACAAAACTACTTATTGGATTGCTTCACAGTTGAGACGCCGATTGAGAAGTAGACAGCCGAACGGCAGAATGAAGTGCCGCACAGCAGCTCAGTGTTTTTCAAGTCTCTAAAAGCCATTGTTGTTTGTTCTTTTGCTTGGGTATAAACAATCGAGAAAACACTTGTGTGTTTATTGGTTCTTACTCAAGTTCAGCTGGATGGAACCGTGCGTCACACTTGTTTTGGCAATTGCAAGGACACTTGCGTCGGAGAAACCAACATAAGCATGGAAATGCGTGCTGCAGAAAGAACTGGATGCACACTTCCTCCATCTCATAAAATCCTCAGACAAGGGAGGCTGGGAAGCTTAATCTGTACGAATAGCACAACTACAGTGTCACGAGCATGCCCGGT